TTGAACCTTATTGACGAAATTATGATAGACGGATCAGTCTATGATTTTTTGTCTGTTTGTCTTTTATGTTTGCAGTCACTGACCGTCAATGACTTTGGGCTCGATCTAGAGCAATATAGTTATCGTAACTTAGTGAGTAACCGTAACTCTGTGGCTGACATGTGACAGGGAGCTGACCGAATGACTAGGCCGAACGGGTTTCTCGCTGCAGGAAATTGGGTTCCTCCCCAGGGCGAGCAGGTCACGATTAAACGACATCTCTCCCTTCCATAATATCTTTTCTGTTACTTCCTTCTCAATCGTAACGCAACGGAAAACCAGCGCAAGACACGATCTCTCGGCTCCTGTCACTTTCACTCTACCGGTCTGCCTCGGTCAAATGCAAGTTCATTGCTCTGCTTATATTCCCATCTCTGGTGAGCTGAACAGAAATCGTATTCACTTGAGTCGAAGTCTTTTTTGTTATTATTGCTAGTGGGGTGGGACTAAGTCCCTTGTACTGCGGCCACTTCTGGCCTATTGTACCAGCCCCAGATGATAGGTGAGGGTGATTGTGGAGCAATTGTTGGACTGAAGATTGGCAGGGGAAACCGAAATACTCGGAGAAAACCTGCCCCAGCGCCACTTTGTCCACCACAAATCCCACTTGACCAGACCCGGGATCGAACCCGGGCCGCCGCGGTGGAAAGCCAGAGACTAACCGCTTGAGCTATGGCGCTGCCCACAAGGAATATTGGGCGGTATGAATAATTAAACATTTTTTAAACGGGTTAAGAAAATTTGTTTTATTGTTATTATAGAACCAGGAGCTTCACCACCGTTATGCTCAAACTCTGCCATTAAATTCCCATTCTGTGTTACTGGTTTCATGATCAATCTTCCATCCACATTTGGCTTCTAACAGGTCTCTTACTTACGAGCTAACTAACGAAGTAACTAACGTCATGGGCAGATTTCGCCTTAAGGAGTCAAAAATATCTCAGCTAGACAAGAAATTTCCATCTTCTGACGGGCCGGACTGTTCACTATGGACTTCATAAAACTATGTCGCATGTTACGGCCTCGGCGCGTGATGCCTTGCAAAGAAAATATTTGTTCTTTTCCTTCGATGTGAAATCTTCTTAATAGCGCCGGAAGAGAATAACATTTAAAACTATTAGGTATTCAATTTGCCCTTTTCCCTGTTACTTTGTGGTCCGCCCAACCTCGTATCCAATGGGTACCGGGGGTCTCTTGTAACTGTCCAGTTTATGGGAAGGTCAATTGATGTTTGTGTNTCTCTTTCCCCGGGGTAAAGCGGTAGGGGTGTGAATCTGACCACTCACCTAAAGCTGTTACCGAGGTCAAGAAAATGTGGATCTATAAATCCACTCCCTCATACGCCTTCATTGCGTAGTGCTTAATTAGTTCAGCACAAGGACAACTTCACCTTTTACCTGTTACTTTAGCTGTGACAGGTTCAAATACCCACATAAACAAGTATTTCTCGAATAAAACGCCGTGGAAAGTATAAAGAGTGAACGGAAGGGAATAAGAAGAGGAGAGAGGAACGGAATAGGGAGATGAGAGAAGGCCAAGTTGGTGATGAAGAGAGGTACGAATGCTCTGCTTAGTCCTCTGAGGGTCAGTCCTGTCCGTTTAATTTCCAGACTTCCTTCCGAAGAGTAAACATAATGGGGTTGAAATCGGCTTATCGTGTACGAGACTGTTTGTTTGTGCTTGCAGTAATGAAAGCTTGTTTAACGGACAACAGCATTATGAGGGAGAAAATAACAAAATGGCGGAAAGCACGAGCTACGTAGTCGTGTTGTGAGGGTTGTCTCTTAGTTGATTCTACGCCGTAAGCTTTGGTTAGCTGCCTTTAATGTGTTTAGAGTCTCAAACTAGCAACATGGCTCCATTTATTTGAAACCCACTGACTAGTTATCCGTAAACCTGTCTCAAAATTTGTTTGAAACGTTAGTTTTGGGCATATGTGACCAACATGGCGGCCAAAATAACATTTCCGAAATAAGAGAAAAATTTCGATGTCGTAGTTTCCCTCGGAGGTGAATATAAAGTAGTATTTTTGGATGTGACGCCGTGCAGCCTCATAGAAGCAAATCTTCTCTATACATGGAAGCATCAGATTCCTCCGAAACGTCAGAAAGCTTCTACGCGGGGTACGCGGAGTAACATTCATGGAATCAAATATTTTCGGAAAAAAAGCCAGGTGGTGCCCCGCCTGATATAGATCCACCTGTGTCTTCTTACATATTTGCAAGTAATTCAGGATCACAGATTCATAAATATTAAATTTTTTAATGAATTAAATATGTTCTTCCTATCCAATAAGAAATGGAACATAAACGTAATGTTGCACATGCTACCACCTTGCGAAAATATTGCCACCTGTGGTGAATACGCGAACTAAGCCATAGCGTGACATGAATATTCGATTTGCATACCAAACCTAATTTGGGCACTGTTTTCTTCGGTCTTGAAACTGTGAGGGAATATCATGTTTTAAGAATGACTCATCCAATATTAATGCCACGTCTGTTTTATTCTGTCCGAGTAATTAACGTTTCGGTAATAAAACCGAACTCCAACTGTGATAAAAATATGTTTATGGTGTAACTGAAAATTCGATTATGCATTGTAATGCACACTATATTAAAGCATATATAGGTGCTCTGTTCCGGTCTAGAAGACTGAAATTAACGGCCGTGGGGATTCGTTTGCTGACCACGCGATGCCCTCCATCCGCTAAAGTTGACACTAACTTCGCCGACAAGCGGCGGGCGCTCGGTCGGTATAGTTCGCTTGCGGAATAAATCCACGGAGTTTTATTTGGATGCTGTGTGGCTTCGTTTGGTATCCTGACGGTAACGACACTGGATTTGAATCTGTCATTTAATTAAACAGCAGTTTATTTTCTGGGTTTCATTTTGAGACACATTAATCCATTCCATACCACCTCATCCTCTTGTCTAAGATCCATTTGATAGCATCCTCCAAACTAGTTTTCAAAGTTAAATCTCCGTTTGTGGCTTTCCTACCGTAAACGTCTATGCTTTGCTATTGTCTCCGCAATCAGTGTCATTTTATTTTACTTGATTATTTTATTTTATTTAGCGAGGAGCCCCACGATTATCCTTTTTAATATTTACTGTGATGTAATTTCCGCTAGTTCTGTCCGAAACCTTGTCCTGTTCCTGTTAACCTATGTTACCAATAGCGGGAACTTTGTTATATATGATCGCATGTGTGTGTTTCACATCAGCATGTGTGCCACAGGCGAGCAACCTAATTTAGACCACTGCTGCTTTCTTCCGCGTCTCTTCGTCCGTATTTCACTGGCCAGGCTATGTTGGATAAACAAGTAAACAAAAAAAAAATAAACTAAAAAATTGAATTAATATAAATAATTACAGCAGAATTATTCGGTCAGTTTTTTCTTAAAATTTTGCATTTTCTCTTTTGGCGCTACAGCCCCAATTTGGGCCTTGGCCTATCTCCATGGAACTCTCCTTTTCACTTCGGTTATTAGACCTTAGATATTTGGTAGGACTCCTCGGGCGGGTGATCAGCTCGTCGCAAGGCTCTACCTGTACACAAACACAGAAAAACGCACACAAACATCCGTGCCCTGAGTGGGATTCGAACCCACGATCCTAGCTTCCGAGCGAACGAAGAAAGTGCATGTCTTAGACCGCTGGGCTAAGGTGACCGGCGAAATTTTGCACACGTGAAGTTAATTCTTTTGTCTTAAATCTGCGTAGGTGTTAGCCACCAAAATTTGATTTTGTTTCATAAGGAACCACAAGTTTTACACGTTCTGCAGTATTTGATATACCTTACAGCATTACGACATGAACTGTAGAGTATAAAAAGATGGCGAATTTTGTTGGTGCTACTTACAGCCTCAGAATCCAGCAGGAACACGAGAATGTACAGGGATGTGAACAAGGCTTGCGGCCACACACATGATTTCTTCCAACAGTTCTTGACCGCCGTGTTTCCTTTCTACGGAGATAATTCTTTGTTTCTAAGCACACGCCGAGCTTGTTCGGATCCATTTAAACTTATTCCAGAAACTTAAGAGAGAACCAAATGAAATCAGGAACGAACCCGCGACCTTCCGCTTGTAGTACAGTGCCTCAGCAAACTATGTTACTGCGTGCCCTATAATAGGTGGTATGTACGTGCAAAAACAATACAGAGAAAAGTGTTACCATTTTCGGGCGTCATTTCTGTGAACAGCTGTTCCGTTTTAGCCACTGGAAACCCCTGTAGGATATGTTTTGGCAAGAGCAGTGCACGGTTGTTGTGTTGTGTAAACATGTTGCCCGTTCACTGGACGCTGCACTCGTCAAACGAATTGAGAACTGAGGTCATATGGTATTTGTGTCCATGGTTTATGCTGACCGTCTTACAGTGTATACACTTTTTCACCTTATTCTTCACTTCCACACTACATGTTTCAGCACTAATGTGCCATCCTCAGGTGTCTTTATGCACGTTAAACTATTGTACTGCATGCCTTAATGTCTTCATTCTAAAATGACTAAAATGATATCCAGCAGTAAAACGCATGAGTAACAGGAGCAAAACACAACACAGAACACGATACACAAATATATGTAGGAAGAATGCTCACACAAAAAAAGGATTGGCGTAATTCGCGTGTTTGAGTGCGACGTAGGAAGAATCCTGAAAACTTTTATTATTTAGAATTCACAGTCCTATATGACGAATACAGATTTTAGTCATTTTAGAATGAAGACATCATGGCATGCAGTACAGTAGTTTAACGTGCATAAAGACACCTGAGGATGGCACATTAGTGCTGAAACATGTAGTGTGGAAGTGAAGAATAAGGTGAAAAAGTGTATATACTCTAAGACGGTCAGCATAAACCATGGACATGAATCAGTGTAACAGGTCGCTAAAATATAACATGGTATTTGGCTGCAACTTCAACTCTCCAAATATATCTTATGCATATCTCCTTTTCTGTTCCAGGAGGCAGCCAGTGCAGAGAGAATTTGGAAAGCAGCATTCTGGTAAGACATTTATCTGGTACATGCTGTTAGTTTGTAGTCTGACATATTTATTTCCACTGTACAAATACCGTAAAGCAGCTTGTGTTAATTCGCCTTTTATATTCAAAAATAAATACTTCGTTTGCTAGCATAAGAAACAACTCTTATAAACTTGAGAAATTTTGTTCCCCTATACAATCGAAAGTCATTTCCTTTTTCGTTACATATGCCTCGCATACATTGTTACCGAGGATTAAGGTATGAATCTTATATTTCCTTTTGTATGCGCGTCGGGTGATTTCATTTTTGTATTTATGCCTAATTTTCGTGGAGACATCTGTCCTAGATTATCAGCTCGATATCCGAGAAGGAGAGGAGGAGATAACTTCTTATGGAGAGAGATCTGAGGAAGGCAAGGCAAAGGGGAGAAAAACATTCAGCTGTGGCCTTCAGCATGAATTTCCGGTTTCCTGATTCCCGTCTAGAAAACCGAGATCCGCGGCCGTGGAGATCCATTGCGCTGACCACGTAACACCCTCTGTCCGCAAAAGTCGGCACTAACTTGTGACAAGCGGCGGTCGCTCGGTCGGTCTAGTTCTCTTGCGGACTTCAGTCCACGGAGTTTGTGTGTACAGAGTGGTAATTTCAATATGGTGGCGTGCTTAGCTAATTTTGTGCATTAATTAAAGAACACTTTCCGTTCTTACGAAATACACTTGTATAAGGTTTATTTCCATTGTCAGAAACTCTGAGAACCAAATTAATTATTTTTATTAAATTCATGCTATTCGACAGAACATAAAAGCCAATTAATTACCTCGTTACCCGTGCAATTAAACAGTAATAATTTGTGTAAAAATTGAAAAGTGTACATACTAATCATGGCTGATGAATATCTGTGATGTATCTATGAAGTTTTAAACATTTTGGAGGGAAAGAACATTAAAATACAGACAGAATATTTATGAACGTTCGGACATTGTTTTAGACAAATGAGTTTCATGTAAGTACTAGTTGTCATGTCACCCGCACATCCGGTTTGATGGCATTGGCACCGCGAGACTTGGCTGAAGCTGTGACGTCTCTTACTCCTAATCGAGAGGCGCTCTGTTTGTATGTCGTCCGTTACACCGACCGCCCGTACTGAAGATTACTTTTCTTAGTTTTCCTCATTCCAACTACATAAATTATGTCTAAAATTAGACTACGACGTCATTCCCCCGTGCTCTTTCCAGTCAGTTTCTCACTAATGAAACTACATACGTTGCTGTTTAGTGCGAGCTGCTCATAGGGTTAAGTAAACACAAAATGCATGATACTAAATTCCAGAGCCTGGCAACGTCAATTAATATTTCTCTCATCGTTTTCTGTTTATTGTCACTACGTGTTTCGGAACGGAAAATCAGTGAATACATGGATGGCATTTGATCTAGTGCTATGAATTTTTATCTTATTTATTGTCACGTATAGGGGTGATTTATAAGACGAGTTTTGGTTTGGATGTTTGGATTTATTGACACCTTATACATTTACACCACTCGGAACTACAGGCAATTACAATGCTATCGCTATTCTACACACTTTCGAGTTCACCATTCCACATGCACAAGGATTCTCTGTCTTTACCAGCCGTATCCTGGCAACGGATTTTTCTTAGTCTCACTGTTACCTCAAATTACACGTGCAGTCTTCTTCTCTCAGTCTAATTTCTTTCCTGTCTTTATTCTGCGACTACCAATTCCGAAAACTCGACTCCATTCAATTCTAAGTTCATATCCCGACAGGCAGACGTCCCGGAACTCGACCCTGTATTTCCGTTTCGACTACTGTTCACTACTACTCCTGTTTTATCTGTCTTCTGTGTCCTTTAATAGGCCCTCGGCAAGGACTACACAGAAAACACCGCTTTTGTTATTAAGGAGGCGTGTATCCTGGACGTCCTTCTGTTGCATGCGTGCGCTTCACGGGAATATGTTTACCGAGTCGTTGCCTAGCAATGGTTATACAGGTCACATTATGATTTATTTATCGACACTGTCACTAGCACAGACTTTACGGTGTCGAATGCTAAGATGACAGCGAATAATGCTTTGGAAATGATGTGGCACCAAGCGGTCCTTTTCTGGTACTATCCTGGTATTTGAAGGGAGTCAGGAAAAACACCCGCCCAGATTCTAACTGCAACTCCAGAATACAAGGCAGATCCTCGTAACAAATTTTCCGTGTTGTGAATTGATCTGGTCAGAAAAATATCAATTTCGCATCATCTGTTCAACAGTTACATCTAATGATCTGTGGTTTATCAGCAACGCAAATCGTGTTGTGTGATAAAAGAGAATAAGGATTTTTAAACATAATGACATGGAGAGCGTTCAGTCAGAAAACTGTTCCCGTGAAAGCGTGCAGAACTAAAAACGTTTGCTTTGTGTTCATACACAAAATTAGTAATCAGTATTTTGATATTAATGGCGCTGTATTATTGGAGTCGTATTTAATATATATATACACCAATACTTTTGTTATAATTTTTTTTTTCTGTTCTCACATATTGCCTCTTTGCTATTAATTTTAAACTTTGATCGCGTTAGTGTAAGTTAAAAGTAATTAAATCATTTTTGGAAATTGAGGGAAGGGGAACGTAATTAATTTGTTTTATATATTCCTATATANTTTATCGACACTGTCACTAGCACAGACTTTACGGTGTCGAATGCTAAGATGACAGATATCACGGTATGCCTCATACAGATATGTTATACGAAATATTTAATTTTATGTGCCAGGTACTAAGAGGAGGGAACTAAAGAAACGCAGTAATGCATTTGTTTTGTACACATAACAAATGCGAGAAAATACCTGTTGGTTAAAGTAATTAATATACTTATTTAGATCTAGATTAAATATGTACTCACAAAGGCCCTGCGATTAATTGAATAGCGCGTTTCTTCAACTCGTCTGTTTTATAAAATTTGAACTCATGATTCAGCAAGCTATTCTGCAATAGTTTCTTTCGTGGTAGCGTAGTTGGTTGAGGGGCTGTGCTACAAGCCGGAATGTCGCGGGTTCAATTCCCGATGAGGTCATTGGATTTTTTCAGTTGACGTAATCCTTCCAGCCGCACTAGGCCCCAGGGTTTACTCAGCCTCTAACAGAAATAAGTACCAGGAATTAATTAACTAATTTTACTGCGAAGTCAAACGCCATAGAAAACGCCTTTCTTTTTTGTTGCATTGGTGTTTAGTTCGGCGGAAACGTGTTTACGAAGTCGTTGCTTAGCAACATGTTGCCGTTGTTCTGTTGCTGAATTTGCCAAACATCGGCCGCTGTTTACAGAGTCAGTCCTTAGCAACGGGTCTGTATGCCACGGTACATTTCGTAGTAACTACACTGAAGAAACGTGTTCTGTCTGTCGCGAGGACAACGCGAGCCAAGTACCTAAGGACATTAAACGTAAGATTAATAAACATTATTGCTCACACTGCATTTGTTGAAGGAGAAGGAAAGAAAAGCGGCGAATATAAAAGAATTATATAATAAGAGGAACAGAAAGAAAAGAAAAAGATATAAGCAGGGAGGAAAAATAATTACAAAAGAAGGCTCGATTGAAGCGCGTTTACTGTATGTTATTATTCAATTCTCTTTGTATCTCGGTATAAATGTAGTTGTCTTTCACACATTTCAATGGTACCGGATTATGATAATTTTGAGGAAGTTAGTTTTTAATATTTTTATGTTCATGCCAGGTGTAACATGTATATTAGAAACGTCTGTGTGCTGTATACTTTTAATTGTGACGTATATTTATAACTTCACAAGAGTTAATTATTTCAGAATTATTTAAACTGCCACGACTCACACAGGAAGCGGATCTGTGTTGTTCCATTTGTTATGTATCAGTTCACATGCACATAGCAGTATCGATAGGCTGTCTGTGGCTTCCTTTTGCCCCTCAAACACCCTCATATTTCCATAACATTTACATATTTATGGTCCCTCTTCGCGTAATGCATGCTGGTACAACATGTGGTCCAAATACGAATTTATTCGCCGGTGTGTGTTATATTAATTATTTAAAGAATTTTTGCGGACTTCAGCTACAGTTTCAAATGAAATATTACTGTAAGATTATTCTTAACAGCACTCAGCAAGCGTTATAATTATCGGAGACTGTTTCGTAACGTTTCCCAAATGCAGTTTATAAAATTGTGCATGATACCGCTCAGATGTTTATGAAAGTATCGGGGGTCGATTCAACGCATCTCAGCGGAGGTGTACTCAGATTTTCCTTAGATATGTCTCACTACATAACTGTATCGGAATACGTCATAACGGCCTTAAACTTCGCTCTATATAAGCATGAAGAAAGTATATGTCTTAACATCTCCCCGCGGCTGTATATACAGATACGTCGGGAATTATGTATTAATGCCTCTGAAAAGTGATATATGTAAATGTATAAAAAATATGAAAGATTATGTTAAAATTTCTCGTCGGTACTTAATATACGATGGGGTACCCAAAAGAAACCGAACAAATTTTTTTGTGGGCAGAGCTTTTGTAGTACCGCGTTTTGCCGCTATGAGCGCATAGAGCTAACATTCCTGAGTCGATAAGCCGACTACCGTTGCTTCAGAAGGTAAGGACTAGTTTCGGCAGAGTTTATAGTGACAACTGTTCTGTATGATCGTCGTTTTTCCAATGGCCCGAACACATGAATGTGTTGAAGAAATTCGTGAAATCATCAAGGAAGATCGACGGCGGACCATTGAAGAAATTGTGGAGCTGTCGGGAGTGACTTGGAGCTCAGTTCAGCGAATTTTGACAGAAGATTTGGGAATGAAAAGGGTGGCTGCGAAATTCGTGCCACGACTACTGACTGCTGAACATAAACAAGGTAGCGTGGAAGCATGCTGTGCTTTGAAAGAAGAGTCCCGAAATGATCAAAACTTTTTTTCAGCGTTTTGCTGATGTTGCTGAGGTGAAGGAAAAAAACGACGGAGGCGCTGTCAAGCATCTCAAAG